GCGGCGGCGGCGGCGGCAGCAGCGGGGGCGGCGGGGGCGCGGCAGAGGCAGCAGCGGTACGGGCAGCAGCAGTTTGCTGCGCAGCAGTTAGCTGCTCATATGCTGCTGCTGCTGCTGCTGCTGCTGCCTTTGCCTTAAAGGCCATTAAGCAGCAGACTAGCAGCAGCCTAGCAGTTTGGCGCTGCGCCCAAACCCTAGCCACTTCTGTTGCTGTGGGGCCCCACACTCAAGCTAAAACCCCTAAGGGGGCCCAAGCAGGCAGCTGGGGCCCCACAAGTAGAGGGGGGCCCCCCAAGCAGAGGGGGGCCCCCCAAGCAGAGGGGGGCCCCTAAATGCAGAAGGGGTCCCCCAATAGCTGGATGCTATACCCTGCACTGCAGGTGAGAAGCAGACAACTAAAAGGGAAGAAGGGGGCCCCCGAAGGGCCCACAGGGAATTATAGGGGGCCCCAAAGGGGCCCCCATAGGGGGCCCTTTGAGGGCCCCCGTATGACCCTTTTGGGGGCCCCCCCCGAAGGGTTCATACAAGGACCGAGGGGCCCCCAAGGGGCCCTTTTGGGGACCTCTTGGGGGCCCCTCGGCTCACTGTAGGGGCCCCCGTTGGTGCCTACATGGGCCTCTATGGCAGATATTTGCTCATTGTAGGGGTCCCCATATAAAATCCAGGTCATGGTGGGCCCTACGCTCATTTGGGGGGGCCCTGGGGGCCCCTAACAGCTTTAGGGGCACCCCAGCTTTTACCCTTAACTTGCCGCTCTATTTTTTCGTACTAAAAGCTCCAGGGGGGCCCCTAGGGGGGCCCCAGGGGCCCCCTAGAGGGGCACGAGGGGCCCCCGTGAGGGTTTTGTCTCTGTCTTTGCACGTGAACGAGGCAGGTCTTAAGGAGGGGGGGCCCCCAAGGGGGCCCCTTAGAGGGCTGGCCCCTGCAGACCCTCAGGGGGCCCCTAGGGGCTCCCGGGAGCCAGCTGGGCTGGGCAGTTCAGACTAGCGGGGGGCCCTCTAGGGGGCCCCCCGCTAGTCTGAACTGCTGGGGGGGGCCCCTCACTCTGCATTCTCTTTAGTCTATTTGCGCAACTAGACTCAATAAAATGTTCAGGAAACAATGTCCAAATAGAGTCAAATATGACGTTGAAAAGGCCCCCAGGGGGGCCCCGAGGGGCCCCCAGGGGCCCCCGGGGGCCCCCCGGGGCCCCTGGGAACCCCTAGGGTACTTTCCCCCTAGGGGCTCGAGTGCGACCGGGGCCGCCCACATTGCTTGCCTGCGCCCCGCCTGGATGGGGGGCTGTGGGGCCCCTCTGCTGCTGCTGCAGCAGCAGCAGCAGCAGCAGGAGCTGTTGCTGGTGATGACGGGGCCCCCGTCTTGCTGAGGGGCCTCACAGGGCTGCCTGAAGATAAGGTCTTCCTGAGGCCCTCCATATTGTCTCCTGCATGCAGCTGCGGCAGCTGCTGCTGCTGCTGCTGCTGCAGCGGCTGCTGGTAGGGGCCCC